TGCCGCGGCACCCAGTTTGAGAACCACTGCTCTATACAGATGGTTAACAGGGAAAATGAGCACTTGCAAATTCATATGATTCTTTCACTTTTTCTGGCTTTTCCCTCAATACTTCCGAACAATGAATAGTGTTATCTTAAGCCGTATTAGGTAAAACAAGGAAATTACCAATCCGTTGTGATATTTACGTCATTGTTTAGTGTCGCCCGCTGAAGCCTAAAACCAAACTTGAAATTCGTTACCAGCCGTGATTATATTTTACAACATTAATGTGTTTTGTGTATTTCTGTATCATTTTCTATCCAGAAAACAAAGGAACTATGAACTTGGCAGTTTCTTCGTTTTTGATAAATTCATAGAATTGTTTGGAAACTTTTCCTCTCGAACAGACGGTGTCCCAATTCATTCTTTGATATTGTATATAGCGTGTATGTACATCAAGTTTAAACATGTAATATAGGTTTGATAGCAGTGAATATTATAAATTTTAAGAGAAATCTTGTAAAGTGAATTAGATTGAATAAACATGCTCATGTCGTTACCGGATGATGCGTGTAAATGGTATTGGTTAATGGTTAATGGTTAAAAGCAAGATAAATGTGCTCGACATCTAAGGTCATGTAGCACTATAGTTAATGTTAGTGAAAGGTGGTTGAGTTAGTGGTTAGTTGTCTAAGCTGGGCAAAGGAATTGGTGAGTTAAAGGGTTAAGGTCGGGTGTTAGATTAGATGAAGATATGTATGCGTTTGAGGAAAGAGAACAGGTTGTTGATGCAGAAAGTGTGGGATTCTGTAAGGATGTCTGATAGGTTGGGAGGTCGGTGAAGGGAGGATAGGTGGGGGAAAGTAGAGGGCTGCTTCAAAACGTGGGCACGACAATAGGATGTGTGGGATTGAAAGGGGAACATTACATAAGGAACATAGGGGTGGATCAGATGTGGGCATAGCAGCGAGGCGTGCTAGTGTATCTGCCTGTTCATTGCCGGGGATTCCAACATGGCTGGGCACCCAGCAAAATTTGATTGTTTTATGGCGTGTGGACAGGTAGAACAACCAGTTCTGGATCTTACAAACAAGGGGGTTGGTGGTGTGTATTGACTTTATGAGAGTTAATGAGTTACGGGAGTCAGTAAAAATTGTAAAAGAGGAAGAGGAGAGTGAGTATATGTGTTTTAGGGCAAAAAGGAGTGCATACAGTTTTGTAGTAAGGACACTGGATTCAGGAGGAAGGGAGTATTTGAAAGTACGAGTTGGGAATATTACTGCAAAACCAGTGCCGGAGGTGGATTTGGAGCCATCAGTATAGACGTGTATACTAGAGGAATGGGTGGAGACATGGTCAAGGAAATGGATGAGAAGGACAGCAGGAGGAATATTTGATTTTGGTGGGTCGGGGAAAACAGAAGAGCAAATATGGGGATGAGGTATAAGCCATGGAGGGACGGAATGGACAGAGAACGGGAGAGGTTGGAGATGGGGGAAAGGGGAATGGGAGAGGAGGGTATCCATGCGAGTGGAGAAAGGAGTAGGTAAGCGTGGAGATGAAGCTAAGGTAGGAAGTAGGGATTGTGGGATAGTTAGTTTAGTGAGGGGAAGTTGGTGGAAACGAACATAACATCGGAGAGAGAGAAGGGCACGACGTCGAGATAGAGATGTTATGCCTGATTCAGTGTACAGGCTCTCAACTGGAGAGGAGCGGAAGGCACCTAGTGCTAAGCGAAGACCAGAGTGATGGATTGTGTCAAGATGGGCAAGGAGAGAAGTTGAGGCAGAGGAGTAGATATGGCATCCATAATCAAGAGTGGAGAGGATCAAAGTAACATGAAGATGAAGAAGAGTTTTGCGATCTGAGCCCCATGATATATGGGATAGAGTTTTTAAAATTCGAAGGCGGCGGAGAGTTTTTTCTTTAATGTGTAGAATATGGTCTCGCCAGGTCAGTTTGGAGTAAAAAATAACGCCTAGGAATTTGCCAGAGGAACGGCATTGGAGTGGAGTGCCATATAAGAAGAGTGGGGGTAGGGGACCTACACGTGAGCGAGAGAAAAGGATGGAGAAAGATTTAGAGGTAGAAAAATGGAAGCCATGGTTTGTGGCCCAGGAAGATACTGATGAGATTGCAGATTGAAGAAATTGGTAGAGATTTGGTATGGATGTGCCAGAGGCATAGATAGTTAAATCATCAACATATAGTGATGACTGGGCTCCTGGTGGTAAAACTGAGACAATATCATTAACAGCAAGAAGGAATAAAGTGGTACTGAGCACACTGCCTTGTGGGACACCTTCGATTTGAGGAAAGAAAGATGATGTGGCAGAAGCAATTTTGACTTGAAAAGTGCGTTGGGAGAGGAAAGACTTTATGAAGACACCCATGTTTCCACGTATGCCTAGAGAGGACAATTGTTGGAGAATATGGTACCGCCATGTCGTATCATATGCTTTTTCTAGATCAAAAAATATAGCTAGTACGGATTCATGGCGTGCAAATGCGGATGTAATATATGTCTCAAAATGAACAAGGGGGTTAGCTGTGCTTCTGGCACGGCGAAAACCGAATTGGGAAGGAGAGAGAAGATTGTGAGATTCAAGATACCACATTAAGCGGAAGTTCACCATCCGCTCTAATGGTTTGCACAAGCAGCTAGTTAGTGCGATGGGACGATAGTCTTGAGGGAGGGTACCCGATTTATTGGGTTTCAGGAAGGGAAGGATGAGAGCTTCTCGCCAATTAGAAGGAAGATTTCCTGATGTCCATATGCGGTTGTAATTTTTTTATAGGAAGGATAAGGAGGAAGATGGAAGTTGCCGGAGCATACGGTAGTGAATACCGTCAGGGCCTTCATGAGTGTTGCGGCACGATTGTAGGGCTGCAATGAGTTCAGAGCATTATAGGACTCAGCGGAGGATGGGGTGAAGGTAACGGGGGTACGTTCTCTGGTGGTCTTGATAGAAGAGAAGTGTGGAGAAAGGTGAGAGCCACTACTGACCTAGCTGAAATAATCACCCAGTTCATTAGCGACTTGGAGAGGATCAGAAATGAGGGTATCTCGAATATGGAGGACATGGGGCAGGATGGGGGGGATGTTTGCCTGATAGTTTATGGATTCGGCGCCAAACATTTGAGATAGATGTAGAGGATGTAATTGATGAAATATAATTTTGCCAGCTATTTGTTTTACTATTCCGGATTGTACGACGAAGACAGGCAGATGCTCTTTTAAAGGAGATAAGGGCTGATAGTTGATTTGGAGTACCTCTCTTGTAGCGGTAACTGTTCCAAGCTGCACGTTTTAAGCGAAGTGCTTTAGTGCAATCAGAATTCCACCATGGAACACATTTAGAGGTATATGGTCTTGAGGGATAGCTGTATGTGCAGCTCTTAAGATTGTAGTTGTGAAACACTGTATCCTTTCTGAAATAGAGGTGAGGGAGGATGGAGGGGTATGAATAGCAGAGAGTGAAGTGAAAGTATGCCAGTCGGCTCTATCAAAGCACCAGCGTAGGGAGTTAGGAAGTGGTATGTATGAAGAAGGAGAAAGGAGAACTGGAAAGTGGTCACTATAGGGAAAGTGGTCTAAGACTGACCAGTGGAAATCTAAATGAAGAGAAGGGGAGCATAGAGAGAGGTCAATGCATGAAAAAGATTGCGTGCGTGTATCAAAGTGTGTGGGGCGATCTGAATTTAGAATAGTAAGGTCAGCTGTGGAGAGGAAGCGCTCTAGAGATCGGCCTCGGGAGTTGGTAATAGAATCACCCCAAAGAGTGTGGCGGCAGTTAGAGTCGCCAACTATGAGGAAAGGTGGTTGAAGTTGGGAAATTAGATTTTCAAAAGCAACAAAGTCAATGGGGTGGGAAGGGGAGAAGTAGACTGAAATCACTGTCATCCAACGTTGAAGGAAGATACGAATAACTGTGCAAGGGACATTGGTTTGAAAGGGAGGTGTGACATAAGGTGTTTTCTGATTGATAAGTATTGACGAGACATAAAGGGAATGTGGGGAAGAGACAAAATGATAATTGGGGATTGGTATTGGAGGATGTGTAAGAAAGGTCTCTTGAAGGCATACAATAGATGGGTTATAAGAGGAAAGGATATGACGAAGGTCAGGTCTGTGGGAGCGGAAACCGGGAATATTCCAATGAAGGATAGTTATACTTTAGTGATATAGATTGTAGTACGTGTTGGAGAATTTGAGGGGGAAGTATCTAGAGGGTGGGATAAGGACTGAGAGGTCTGAGATGGGAAAGGTGTGGGAGTTGGTGTTCTACCAGGAGGGGTATTAGGAGATGGAGGATCTGAGGAAGGGGATACTTGTGATATAAGGGATTCATGTGTGTATCCAGGAGGGAGTGGAAGGGATAGAGGGGATGGTGGGAGGGTTAATGTGGGCGGGGTTGGGGTCGGGGGGGATGGGCTGTGTTGGGAGGGGGTAGGAGGATAGGGTGTAGGGAGGATATCGTTAGGAGGATGGATATTAGCAGTTACTTGGAGTG